CAAATTATTCTTAGAGAAAATCTGGATGTCAAATTTTTTTTTATTTTAAAAGGAAAAAATTTATTTTTTTATCATAAAGTTTATTCCATTTCACAAGTTCTTCTCAATAAAAATTTTTAGCATTTAGGTAGAAACGGATAACGAATCAAGAGAGGAAATTTGAAAGATCTTGTCCTGTTATTTATTCTTTCTGATAATTGAATCACCATTGAAAAGTTTAGCAGTTGTAAAAACGAGTAAAGCCAAATTTTTGTTTTTATTTTTAACTGTTATTAATTTGCTAAAGCTCAAAAAAAAAAAAAACAAATTTTTATGTATAGAAATTTGTTATGCAACTTTTTCAAAGAACTGTATGAAATTGACAAAATCTGTGTGAAACTTTCTCGTCTAAGTATCTAACTTTTTTGATTTTCAGCATAAATGACTAAAGTCAAATTTAATAGAATTTCAAAAAATTTGCATTAGAAATAAATTCTGCACGTAGCGGCCATTATTTTCAAGTTATGCATTTGTTTTTATTGCCTGCCTCATAACATTATAATCATTAGTCTGATTTTGTTAGGCTATTTTCCTATAAATTATTCTAAAATGAGTGCATAAAATTTTCTTTCTACCTCAAAACAGAAGGAATGCAGAGCTGAAATGTACCCATTTTGCTCTTGAGCTTCTCTTTACGAGGTTAATGATTGTTTCTTAAATGTCCTCAACTATAAGAGTAGGTGACAGCGGTAAAATTTTTAAGGTATTTTACTTTAGCACTTACTCTTCAAGCTACCATTTTTTTCTTTCTTTTTATAGCGAAGAGTGAAGAATTAGGGGTGAAAAAGATAAGTGCTGAAAACAGCAGTGACTACACCCCGCGATTCTGTTTCAGAAAAGGCAACAAAAAAAGCTGTTTAGCCGATACATTAAAAGTAACAAGCTTATAAACGGTCAGAACGCATATTTCTCTAGGGTTTTCTACAGCTCCTTTCTCTAGGTTTCTGATCTCCAAACTCTGTTTGACAAAAAAGTAGTTGTAGACTATGAAGAAGTCGAAAAGCTGCTAAGTGCTAAACTAACAACTTTTCTCAATAAAAAACTTTTAAGTGGAAGCTGCGCAAGATTTGAAAGTAAATGTAGTATTTAGATGCTATAATTTTCAGATTCATGCTTATTGTGAAGAACCGGATATAATTATTTGTGGAAATAAAGCAGACCTGGAAAACCGTCGACAAGTAAGCACTGCAAGAGCTCGCCAGCTAGCTGAACAACTGGGGTATGTTTGTAAACAAACGTATATATGATAATCCTGTTTTGTTAAAATTGCCAAGTTATAATTTCGTTTACATGTTTGAAAAATGATTACAGTGTGGTTTATTTAATTAAGTTAAATAAATAAAAATACTCTAAAAAATTTTAGGCTGCCGTACTTTGAAACTTCTGCATGTACCTCAGCAAATGTTGAAAAATCTGTGGAATGCCTACTGGATCTAGTTATGCAGCGGATAATACGAACTCGTGACTTAGATAACAACGAGGAAGACTGTAGGGGAGTGGTGCTGGAACAGGATGCTGTTGAAACTGCGCAGCGAACTTGTCAGTCGTGCTAACTGAACAGCGGCTCTTTTCAGTCGCTGCCAGTTTTTATGAAGGTAACAGGAAGTGTCTACCTAAAATTCTTTAAATGAAAATCAAATAAGGAGCTGTCTGATTATAAGCTTATAAAATTACAATACATTTTACACTAGTCATTATTTG